AAAAAAAAAAAAAACAAAAAAACACAAAAATCCCATAAAGAAACAATCCTTACCCTCCCCACTCCCTCATATCCTCGTTTACCAAATACATAGTAAATATGTTTCCTCTTCGTCTACAGCTTCCTTTTGTTTTACTTTTTGCATCAATTTCCTTTTTCTGGTTCAGTAAGGATCGTCATCACTTCTTGGAAAAAAAAAAAACAATTATTTTATTCTTTTTTTTTTTTTTTTTTTTTTTTTTTTAAAAAAAACTGTGACAGTGCCTCATTTCTCTAATTTATTCCCATCCCTTCGATCCGGGATGATGAATGAGCGCACCTTGCAAAACCAAAGAAACCACACTCCCACCCACAGTGATAGAAAATAAAACCAGAGAAAAAAAAGAGTAAATAAAAAAAAAAAAAAAACTCGAAAAATACTTCCCCTGAGATGCTCTAAAATGCAAAATACCCAAGCACTACGGACAGACGGAGAAAGAAAATCATATGCATATACATATCACCTCGCGTTTTTTTCTTTCATTTCTTCGTATAATTTTTCAACTGTATAGATGTAATATATTGACACATAAACATCATACCGTTGTTAATTATTATTATTTTTTTTTTTGCTCTTGAAAGTGAATGGATATCTGCATTATCTTATTCTCGATTTTTCCTTTTTTCTCGTTTATTCTCTTTGTTTTTCTTTTTACCTTCCTTTTCTTGGTTTGTTTATTTCATTTTTTTTTTTTTTTTCCTTTTTCTTGATTGTCCAATTTTTTGTTGTTGTTATTTTTCCCGTGGTTACGAAGGATGTTATTCCTCAAACTCAAAAACGTTTCCATAAGAACACCCAATCCTTCTCTCCTGCAAAAAAAGAACGAAAAAAAAAAGGGTCTCAGGAAAACTTCACCGCACTAGTCTCTTTTTTTTTTTTGTTTAGCCGCGGTTCTTGTACTTTTTCTTTTCATGTTCCCTCTACCCTTTTTGACGATCTTTTTGAGTTTTTTTTTTTCTTCTCATCTTTGTCCGTATGATTTGGTAAGTATATGAAGTCTTTTTTTTTACTTTTTATCTTTTTTTTCCTACTACTTTTTGAATGTTTCAACGTAGTTCCTCATAAACCTTTACGTGTTCTACCGCTAATGTCGCCATTTTTCCCCTATGTTTTTTTTTATCCATAAACAGACGGTGTTTCGCCTCAAGTCGGTGTACTCTCTCTCTCTATATATATGTATGGATGGATGATTCCATGCTCTGAACGCTCGCAATGCAACTCGTATTCTTCGTTTTCCTTTCCCCCTCACATTTCCATATATTTTTTTTTTTGTTTTTCTAAAGAGGATATACTAAATTGCACATGTACACATGTAATCATGTGTTGTCTGTTCTTCTTTTTCTACTTTTCGTTCACATCTGGTTTTACCAGTTCCCTCTTCTCGTTTCAGAAGACGGATGCAGTTATCGCTGACCTTTCCATCAAACCCTCTGCCATCATGTCAGAGACGATTATAAAGGGAAGTGCTCCAAACCACACCAGGATATTGAAGAAACAGACACATACACACACAGACAATTACATATATATATGCTCGCGTTCAGACAAAAAAGGACACACTTTCAAGAGAAAAAAAACAGCTAGAAACGTTAAAAAACTAAAAAAAAAAAAAAAAAAACCAAAAAAAAAAAACACAGATAACGACTTCACAACGTTTGAGAGTTGAGTTACACGATCATCATCCCTGGGTTCTTGCAGTCGTGTGCGAAATGTCCCTTCTCTCCACAGACGTAGCACTGCTGCTCATCACCTTGCGGACGCGGATTCTGGCAGTTGCGTGCAACATGACCTTGACCGCCGCATCGGAAGCATGACAGTGATGCCTTTGCTGTCTTTGTGCGCTCTGGGCAGCGGCGTGCGATGTGGCCTGTGAGCCCGCAGTTATTGCACTTTACGCTGTCAATCACCTCTGGACACTCGCGTGCGTAGTGTCCTGCTCGATGACAATGAAAACACGGCTGTTCAGAACGTGGAAGTCGCGGGTTTGTGCAGTCGCGCGAGATGTGTCCCTCCGCCCCGCAGCGATAACACGGCTGGCGTACGTTTTCCTCCGGCGGTGCGAGTGGGCAGCTGTGGGCGCGGTGGCCGGGCTCGTGGCAGATGAAACACGGGGCGTCCTTCGCGTCCACGTTGCTGGTGCAGTCCTTCCACATGTGTCCGGGCTGCCCGCAGCGGAAACAGAGGCACTCGCCCGGCGGCTTTGGACAGTCGCGGCTCGTGTGGCCAAGACCTCCACAGCGATAACAAACCATTCTCAAAAGTAAAGACACGTAAGGTAAAAAAGCTGGTAGGTAAGAAGGTGGTATGAAGAGGGGGAGACACGTAGATAAATAGAAATAATAAGCAAAGGGATCACAAATAAAAGCACAGAGAATGAATTTTTTTTTTTTTTTCTATTTATTAACTCCTTGTTTGGTTGTTTGTTTTTTATGGGTACTTTTCACGTTGTTGTTCTTGTTGCTACTCTTTCTCGCCTTGCGCTATCCCGTCTCAAATTCACGGCTTTAATTACACGTTCTTTATATCTCCTTTTCTGTAGCGTTGCAGAACCGGCAATTAGTACATCAGTATAAAGTCAACAACAAAAGAAGTTGAAAAAAAAAAAAAAAACATATTCAAAAAAAAATAACAAAAAAAGAGAAGTAAAACGGAAAAGTAACTCCAAAGAAAAAAGACATTAAAAACATCAGTAAAGCAAATGAGTAAAACTGAACCAGCTCTAAAGACACACAAACGGCCTCTCCGTTCTACAACATTCGCCTATACAGAGGAAGGACCAGTGCAACTAAAAAAAAAAATCACATCATAATAAAATAGAAGAAAACCATAAAACTCCAAAAAAATATACAATGCAAACTCCCATAATAAAAACCCAATTTAAAACAAATCGCCAGTTCCCAGAACTAGCGAAAGTAACCAAAAAAAAAAAAAAAATTACAGGTGAGAAAACACCACCACCACCACCAGTACAATCAGCACTCCAAGAATGGGAAAAGAGCCTCCAAGTCCAATTAATCCCATATTTTTTTGGCATTACACCCGTCCACTCTGCGTCCCACCATGAAGCTCAACCTCAGCACATTTCCAACTCCCACGACGCCAAGCAAAGAAGGTCCTATACCCCAAGACCCCAACCATTGACACTTTTCCCACGTTCTTATTTTAAAGAACACGAACCCCTTTATCCACCACCTCCTGCAACCGCTGATAAACTGAAGCAACATGTTACCCGTCAAACAAAACTCCAACGCCAAACTATACTTGTTATTACCCTTCCTTCTTAGTACAAACGATTAATTGATTGTCGTGTAATTTTATAAGCAAAAAAATATTTACTTTTCCACCTTCCTTATTAGTATCATCTGCGCCTTTTTTTTTCTTTTTCTTCTCTAGCCTGCACTGAAACTGCCGTTCAATCGTTAAGAAATTAAAAGAAATCATTCATTTATTTCTTACGCGTTTGTATTGTTTTTTTCGAAACCACCATCAACCCACTACGAGGCAGATATAAAAGGAACGCTAACAAATACAGACACATTGTACACGCGCACACGCACACAAGTTCAGAGAAAGCAAAGAAAAAACAAATGATAACCCTTCACTTCGTCACCAGGCTGCACCTCTCAAAACCCCCGCTCAACATACCCTGCAGACAAACACACAAAAATACATAGAGCGAGTGCGAAAAGGATTCCATCGAGGCAAACGACACAAAGCAAAACGAAAATAAGGAGAAAAAAAAGAGACGCACAAGGAGAAAACAGAAAAAAAAAAAAATAACCCACCGGTCCAAAGAGACTGCCAAGAACAAACAAAGACAACAACAACAACACCAAAAACACCGATATACCGCAGATAATTAAAGAAGGGGAAACAAAAAAGTTATGTATTCCTTTTTCCTTTCATGACTTTCCTTACACCTCCTCTTATTTCTTAGTTCCTTTTATTTTTTTTTTTTTTTTCTCTTCCCGCTCCTCCATTAGTCTATTCGAAGTCTCTCACTGATCAATGAAACAAAGAACTAAAGGAAAAGAATACTATGGCGCTGACTGACACGAAGTCGACAACACGATATAGCACTAGGAGGAAAAAAACAGCACCACAGGCACAGAATGCTATCTTTTACCGTCAAGTGATCCCATCACAGCACCAGAACTCAGTCAAACACCACCTCTCCTCTCTCTCTCTCCGAACACCTTACAATAGACGCAAAACAAAAGAAGGAAGAAAACCAATTCCCTTACAATTAGCAATTTTACTCTCCGTGCTACACAGAGTTTGGGATGGACAACTATTTCTCCTTGATTAGTTTGCTGCTCCTCCCAGCGAACTCCTTTATTTCCTATTATGGAGGACTAACTCATTCCTTCTCCGATAGACCAATGTGAGTACCATCGGGGAAGAGAAGAGCTCTCTCGCCAGGAAGCGTAAACACGGCGTATTTAACGTTGTGCTTGTTACCGAACTGAACAACTCATCGCCGAACCGACCAGCAAGCCTTTGTTGTACATATGCTCCCTCCTTTCCTTCTCTGCCTTCTTACTTCGAGGGGCAGGCACGGCTGATGTGGCCGGGCTGACCGCAGTTGTAGCATGTGGCATCACCACCACGGGGCGCACCACCGGCCGGAGCGGTGGGGCAGTCGCGTGCGAGGTGTCCCTCCTGCTGGCAGTGGTAGCACGCACGGCTGCGGGGGGCGCCGCGGTATCCATCACCACCACGGTTGGGGCATTCGCGGCTCATGTGGCCAGACTGACCACAGTTATAGCAGGCGCGACCACCAGCACCACCGGCACCACCAGCAGTTTTCGTGGGGCATTCACGGCTAAGGTGGCCAGTCTCACCACAGTTATAGCAGGCGCGACCGCCAGCACCACCGGCACCACCAGCAGTTTTCGTGGGGCATTCACGGCTAAGGTGGCCAGTCTCACCACAGTTGTAGCAGGCGCGACCGCCAGCACCACCAGGAGCTTTCGTGGGGCATTCGCGGCTCATATGGCCGGTCTGCCCGCAGTTATAGCAGGCGCGGTCACCTGTGGTGCCAGGAGGCACATTTGGGCACTCGCGTGCAAAATGTCCGGCCTCACCACAGCGGTGACAAGTGCTGCCGCCACCCTCAACACGGGAGCGCTTAGTGATAGGAGCATCATCGGTCATTGTAGTAAAGGAAAAAGTGGGTAGGGCTTGTTGGGTAGAACTACTTGTTCAGTTCTAGAAAGATGGAAAGAAAAAAGGTTGTGCAAAAAGCAATACATGTGTTAGGTACCCGTGCCGTCCGAATTTCTTTCTGGCTTGAAAGCTCCAGTTTGGGCAAGAATCACCTGTGATTGCGGGATGATATGCTTGTATCACTTTTTGGTGCTTCTTCTCCTACATTTTGCACGTGGATATATAAATAGACTCCTTTTTTTTTTGCTGTTGTGGTGGTGTTTATTTTTCCATTTCTTTCTTTTCGTTCAATTTTCTTTTTTTCTTTTTTTTTTGGCAACTATTGTGGGTAGTAACGATCAAATAGTTTAGTTTGATCATCACGTGAGATCTGCGTCCATCCTCCCTTGTGCACGTGGTAAACTGTAACAATACCGCCAGATGCACCGTCGCGGTAAGTGGCGTGAAAGATTGATCGACGCGCAAGATCACATGCTTCCTCAACAGTTAGATCATTGCGGTAACCTTGGTCAAGTACACCATAAGCGTAGATGGAACCTGAACCAACACTGAACAGGTTATGCTTTACACGAGTTCCTTTATCATCCACGTAGTAGAGGGAAGGACCAAATTGGTCCCAACCAGCCACCATTGTTCCCATTGATAATCCGTAGTTACGGTACGAATAGGTAATGTTTGCCAAAATCTTGCTTGCCGCCGCCACGGAAATACGACTGTTGTTACGTAATTCCCAGAGTCGGCATTCCATGCCTAACACCCGTTCCCAGTATTGACAATCTGCAGCACCACCTGCCAAAGTTCCAAGGAGATAATCATTGATTTCCAGTACTTTCATAACCGTTTGGGAGGCAATGTACTGTCCTGAAGATGCACGCGAGTCCACTGCAATGATAATCCCACCGTCGAAGTGAAATCCCAATGTTGTAGTACCTTTCTTCATATTAATCTCTGGAACACTGCGAGGTACTGGACATGACTTCATCAACTTCCAGACACGAGTGTCACTTTGAAGGCCGTTACTGGTACTCAGAGGATCTTCTGTCAGTTTTTCCCCGGTAGAGGGAAAAACACTCATGTCACTGTGACGAGTGGCGCGAGGTCCGAAAGAGCTGTATGAGCTGAGCGTGAGTGCGTCCTCCTCCCCGTCATCGTCATTATCCACACCAGAGACATTGTGCCAGGTGAACGGCCCAATGCGTGGACAGTCATCAAGAGAGAAATCCGAGCGAAGAACACTTTCAAAGTCGACAAACATTCTGTATATATTGCAATTTTTGTGTTTTCACTGGTTTCGGTTTGGCTTCCCTATTCTCAACCGCCTTTCTTTTTGGTTGTTTTATTTATTCCTTCTTCTTTTCAATATATATACCAAGGTATGTATATATATATATATATCACGAGCAAAGATATGGTTTTTCCTTTTTTTTTTTCTACTGAATCTTAGACTAAAATCAAAAAAAAGAAAAAAAAAAACAATTAAAATATCAGCAATAAAATGAAGTTATTATAAGGTTAACTAGAATCAGAAAATTATATTAAATTGCTGAGTGGTTTTGTTTTGTTTTTTTTGTTTCATTCAATCACAAATACACGGCATCAACAGCAGAAGAGAAAGAATAAAAAATTCCATCATTCCTTGAATGGATAAGTTCTCTGTAAAGAAAAAAAAAGACTGACCCTCTCCTCATGACCCCCCAAAAACGAAAAACCACCAGACGTATGACAACAATAATAATAGTAGTAATAGACAACAAAAAAAAAACTGAAACCACCTACATAACTGCCGTGATGTCTTCAATAATTTCATCCTCCTCAGGAATCTCAGCAACACCGTCAATGTCAACAACTCCAAGGTCATTGGGTAATGGTTTTTCATCTAATGATGGTCTAACAGACATGTGTCGAATTTTCTCCATAGATGCTTCCTTTAATTCTTGTGATTCAAAATTCAATGCATCTTTTAATTCTTCATATGTAAAGTTATCAAGCTCCTCCAACTCCTTCGGAGTTAACTCACGGTAACGAGATAATCGACGGAGACGTGATACACGCTGACGTCGAAAAAAGGGCCAATCACGTTCGATAAATTCTTTCCAAACAGCACCTGAATGTTTAGTATAGTGTGGTGGAACCGTCACCTCACGTACAGAACCTACAGGAAGCCCACTGATTGAGAATGGACCAAAAGATATACGACCTCCACGTTCCACATTTCGTCCAAGGTGCTGCATAATGTGAGAAACTGGCAAAGTTTCACCTCGTATTTTAATTTTAAGAGAGAAACGTGATTTCATTGCTGGATTAACTAAAAATTCAACATTATCCCATCGTTTACCATTTACTATCAAACCCTCAGTGTTTAGTTTATGGGCTAAAACAGGATCAATAGCAGGACGTACACGTAGGAGGTATGTCCGCTGTATCATAGATTTTGGATTTTCAAGAAAACGGGAAAGTTCACCATCATTTGTAAGAAGAAGTAATCCATGAGCTCGCATAGGAAGAGATCCAACAGGGACAAGGTGATCCATACCTAATATTCGGGCATGTTTAGTAATTAATGTACGACCGGCTACATCATTTCTAGATACAATTACATGTGCTGGTTTGTGGTACATCCAGAGTCGTGGTGGTGCAAATCTGAGTCGACCACTATGAGAAGCCACATGAATGTTATTTTCAGCCCTAACTAAACGAAAAGGATTCCTTTCCACTACATTATCAACTCGTACCTGACCACTAGCAATAATAGTTAGAGCTTCACGACGACTACAAAAACCAGCACGTGGTAAACAGCGAAGGAGATAAACAGATCCATCAGGAATAGTTGAATCGTTCTCAAGAACTGTATCATAATTTCCTACACGTCCACTAAGTGGATCATAGGATGAACCACCAGGAATTAAATCTGCTGATTTTCGAATAATGTCATTCATAGCAGTAGAAACACTTTGGGATTTGGACATTAATTGATTATCACTTGTAATATCACTAACATCATCATTAACATCTCCCACAATAACATCTGCCAAGTTGGTAGGTGCTTTTTTTAATCGACTACGTTTTAAACTTTTTAAACCTTCCGCTTCCTCTTTTTTTTCTTTTTCTTCCTGTTGCTGATGTTGCTGTTGTAACTCATCATCTGATAAGAGTCTTAAACGACGGGGTAAATAGGTGTCAATACGATCTTCACGTAACTTCTCTGCTTTAAGCTCCATCAATCGCTCCTTAAGCATATCTGTCAGTTGCAAAGGTGTATCACCGTATACATTTTTTTCCTCATCACTTTCAGCTTCAATAGTGGCATCAGCAGGCGATGCATTACTCTCATCTGCAAGGGCCATTCCATGCTGTCGTAAAGTACCACCAGAGAGTTGTAGCACATCCGGTGAGACAACATCCCTTCGTGAATATGTTGCTGCTGAAGAGGCTGTATACCTTGCGGTTTTACTACGAATATCAACACTACCTTGATCAAAAAAGGAGGGAGGAACTCCACTATCATCCTTTGAAAAGCGGTGTCCATCAGCATTCACTGTACGTACAATATCTTTCCACTCTTGTTTCTTTCGTTCATCAGCTGCATATGATGTAACTGGTGGCATTTTAAGGTGTGACATGGCAATTGGAAAATGTTTTTCAACGTCTAATCGTTCCTCACGTTGTGCCACATCTTCACTATGCTCTAAGGCAGAGGCCGTAGGTGATACTTTTCGGCGAAGATGAGGAGCTCCACGTCTCTTTGGTGTATTTTCCCTACCAGAGTGCAATTGTCGTTGTTGCTGCTCTTGTTGTTGACATAAGAAGAACAATAAAGACACAGGTAGTGTGGACGATAAACGACGCATCATTAAAACCCCTTCTTCTTCTTGGCGTACGTTTTACCTCCTTTTTTTTTTTTTT